TTTCTTCAAGATTATCTGTTTCAAATATGATTTCTTCGGAATCCCATGTTAACAGCTTCCTTCTCGCTATCAATTTGGTTAGATTTGGAAGATTCAGGTAAATTAACCTTTCTCAACGTTCTTTTATTCAATGGAAATGGCTCGCTCAAATTTTCGGTTTACCGGAAACCAAGTCACAACGCTAATTACCGTCATTTTTGTCGAATTGCCCACTGTATGTTATGGAATCAGGAGTCTTTTCAATATTCCTTGGGGTATAGAGAGTCAATTTATCGACGTTTCATCTGCAAAATGGAAATTTTATACTGATTCCCATAACGTCCCTTGATGTAAAGCGCAATACATTAAAGGAGCTGGAATTGACATTGTTTATACATATCCGAAAATGTTGAGTAATACACTGGTTAAGCACAATGCGGCCAGTGGTGCTCTTGATACTTCTCCATTAAAAGAAAGAAAAAAGATCTTATCGTTAAAGCATTGTTTATACATATCCGAAAATGTTGAGTAATACACTGGTTAAGCACAATGCGGCCAGTGATGCTCTTGATACTTCTCCATTAAAAAGAAAGAAAAAAATCTTATGTGGGCCCTGCCCCAAGTATTACAAAGGCAAAACCGTTAGAGCTTTTGAAAACTGATACCAATAGTGAGCATAAACGTGATGTTGGGTCATCAGCTTAATTGAAAAGACGCTAAATCAATTCATAAATCAATAACTTCCTATAAAAGAAAAATGCTTGAAACTCTGTTGCTTAGAAAATTGCCCAATTTTAACTCAAGTGCTGGTCGAAGGAATCTGGGTAGCCTTAATTCGTTGTCAGTTAGTCAGTAAAGCATTTCACAGGCTCTTCCACCTTGACCCTCTTCCTGAGACCATTATATATATATATATATATATATATATATATATATAATAATATAATATATATATATATATAATATATATAATATAAATAAAATGCATGAAACACAATACCGTTGATAATATGGAAAAAAACCCACAATGTACAAACTAGATTTATTGATGAAAGTGAGACACAGTTTCGGAATCGTCCTCGATTCCATCTCGGGAGACCTTATAATTAAAATCAATTCTGTTATTTCCAAGATCTTGAACTGTACCTGTACGCCAGAGGAACTCACGGCCTAGGAGGAGGTCACCAGAGACTGTATGGGATTC